CTTAGTTAGGGTCCTAAGATTACTTCCCACGTAAGGTCCCTATAGTCCAGATTTGCCTGGACGCTGCCTCTAAGTGCCACTTTCTGTTTGAAACAGGCTGTAAACGTTTCGAATAAGGAGCTGTATATATTTCGCTTTCAGATTCCTGGTTCGCAAACTTGGCCATGCTTACGAGTTATACCCTATCTTCGCGCTAACTGGTGTATGGTTTATTCTATTCTGCTATGTCATATACTATTCATTCGAGAAGATGGAAGTCTGGCTTGACAGAAGTGAGAAGCATGAGTGTAAAATTACAATGTTCATAATCAGTAACTTCCAGGCAAGACCACTGCTCCATGGGACTGGGAGAGAGTTCGTGATAACTACTGGAAAAAGCCAACGCTAGCGTAAGTGGATTTCATTTTGCTAAAATTTTCTCACTTTTACATCGCTACACTTTCTTTTGTAGTTTCGATAGAGAAGGTGTAAGCCATGTACGACTCGGTATCATGGAGCAGCTGCAAGACCAAATGCTCGAAGCTGCTAAAGCGCGAGGAACTCGATAGATTATAGCGTGTACCGTAGTTTTGTGAATGAAGTAGCATCGTCGTACCCATGTTTTTGTTCTATTTTGATAATCGAGATGGCCATGTAAAAATGCAAGTAAATGAGTTGTTTAAGGGAAGCTACGTCTTGTACACTGAATCATTACCACTCTATAAGAAACGACATTTGACTTCCTGTCATACCGCGAAGAAATATTTACTTTCCACTGTATGCGACCATATCATCAGATAAGCACATCAGATCAGTAAACTTGTCGGTGAAAGACTGAAACGGCAGGGCAACTTTCAGCGAGGGCCATTTTGCACCCTTCATGAGTCACTCGGCACTCCTCGAATCACAATCCCAGCAGAGGACGTGGTCCTTTTGCCTGTCGCAGATAGGATTTTCCGCGTATTTCAGCTGCAGCAAGCTATGCAGCAGAACTGTCATACAAAAGCCCGACTCTCGCGTTAGATCAGGGACACATCACTACGAAGACTCGAAGGATCTGTGCTGAGGAGAATGAGAACAAGCTGACCTTTCAAGGACATGTCTATGCATAATTTCGCATCGAGTTTTTCAAGTTAGAGGGTTTGCGGCTGCTAAACCTCTAAAACGGGCTAAGTAGGATTAGAAGCTTGGTTTCAACAGTAGCCGA